GGTGCGGATTTTGGGCTGGAGGCATCATCAGACCATTCTTCTTCGAAAATGCGGCTGCTCAGGCAATAACAAAAGAGTGCGTATGTGCCAGCAAAGCCGTGGAGGCCATTTACCCGATATGCTATTCCATACATAACCCTATACTGTATACTTTATGAATCAATAAAAAATTTACAATTTTTAATTATAAACCTGTGTTTTCTATCAAAATTACTTCTTGCGTGAATTTTGGGATATATATACACACATACTAGTGGCCCGGTGCATGAAATTCGTACATGGGAGTGGGGGTGTCCCTCAGTACAGCCTGCATCCTCTCACAATCCAGGACCGCTGGCTTCTAACCGCTCACCTTCCTGATCGCCCCTAACCACTCTGCCTGCTGGACTGTTTGCCCCCAACTGCCCCCCCTTGCTGGCCTGCACACCCCCAACTGCCACCCTCTGCCAGCCAGCTCACCCCCAACTGCCCCCCTGCCAGCCTGCTTACCCCCAATTGGCCTGATTGCCCCTAACTGCCTCTGCCTCAGCCCACCACCATGGCTTTGTCCGGAAGGACGTCCGGAAGGTCTCCCGGTCTAATTAGCATATTACCCTTTTATTAGTATACATATATATACACTGAGTGGCCAGATTATTATGACCACCTGACGTTTGTAGGTAAATTAGCTATAATTTCCCGCTGAAGTTGCTAGAGGGCCAGATCATTATAAACGTCTGAATAGCACAACATACCTAAGTATTGTTGTTGATCAAGTTCATCCTATCCTGTTGATGGTGTATCCCAATGGAGATGGCTTATTTCAACAAGACAATGCACCATGCCACGGTGCTTGTATTGTGCAGGAGTGGCTTCAAGAACATGAGGGAGTCTTTACCTTGCTTCGGTGGCCCCCACAATCACCAGATCTCAATCCAATTGAGCATTTGTGGGACGAAGTTAAAAGAGCCATCAGGCAGCTGGTTCCACAACCATCAAATCTCACAGAACTGGACAGTGCTATTCATCAGGCATGGTGTCAGATTCCTCGCATCACCTTTCAACATCTCGTGGACTCAATGCCAAAAAGAATTGCTGCAGTATTGAAGGCCCAACGAAGTACTGATGGGGTGGTCATAATAATCTGGCCGGTCATAATAATCTGGCCACTCAGAGAGTATGTGTGTGTGTGTGTGTGTAATTTATCTTTTATTTTTTGTTAATCCTCACCCGAGGATATTTTCCTATTGATCTTTGTACGTGCCCTTGATCGGAATTGAACCCAGGTTTCCTTTGGTCTGCAGGCCAATGCTCTATCCACCGAGCCAAACTGGCTAGGGCTTTAGAGCCGTTTAAACCATGTGGAGGCCTGGGTGGTTGGATGTGGGTCCCAGTTCAGTACGAGGGTTCTCTGGCTGGTGGTGAAAGGACCCTCTTCCTCCTTCGAAGTCCTCTCTTGGACTGGATTCCTCTCCCGGACCGGGTTCCTCTCCCGGACCGGGTTCCTCTCCCGGACCGGGTCCGGCGGATGATCCCAGCCCCTGCCTCTTCTCTTCCAGGCATCATCCACGCGAGAGGGCTGGTTCGGGAGTGCTTGGCTGAGACGGAGCGGAACGCCAGGTCCTAGCCTCCGAGTCAGCGCGAAGGCTTTCCATCTTCTTCCCAGAAGTGACAGCTCATGCCCCCTATTCAGATGAAACTCGGTTTCAGAATGGTAACAGCTTGGTTTCTCCTCCCCGTACTCCTCCCGTGGCTCGTCAGGCTCCGAACCTCCCATCGCTGAGATGGAGATTTTCGCAGTTTTAGGTTTACATGTTAGTTAGGAACTACCCAGGGCGTTCTGTTTTTTTAAGCATTGATTTACATGATGCACGTCAGTTACCTATCACCGCAAACCGTAGTTGGCCTCCCAGATACCGGTGTTTCTCTTCTGGATGCATTTCTGTTACGTGGTTCTTTGTTTCTCTTCTGAGCTGATCCAGCTCTGAGGGTTTGTTTCAGCGAGTCCTGCGGCAGCGCTTTAGTAGCCAGCGTGTTCGCCACACACTATAAATTCTGCTCAGTGTAACTTTTTTTTTTTTTGCTTAAGCATTTCCATGACTATTAGTACTTTGAAGTCCATCTTTAAAATGCACAAGTTATAAATACAGAAGAAAGAGCAACTTACCGAACCTCAACCTCCAACCTCGCCTGACAAGGACCCCTGAAATTTTCCCTAAGGATGTATGTAGATTTCAGTTCCGCCTTTCCCATCAGTGGATCCAAACATCTGGAAGAAAGTGACTAATACTGTTTGCATCTTTGTATGTATTTATTACTTGATGTAATAAAGCTTATTTTCATTAACAACTGGTATCAAGATGTGGGTTCCTTGAATCGTGGCATTTAAAAAATGTGTTTGTTTTTTTTTTAATTTCTTATTGATTTCAGAGAAGGGATAGAGAAAGAAACATCAATGAGAGAGAATCATGGTTCAGTTGCCTTCTGCACGCCCCCTACTGGGGAATCAAACTCACAACCCCCGGCATGTGCCCTGCGAGGGAATCGAACTGTGACTTCCGGGTTCCTAGGTCAAGGCTCAACCACTGAGCAACACCAGCCAGGCTCAAGTGGCATTTTAAAAACAGCTCCTCAAGGAGAGGTGAGAGAGACCTGTCAAAGGTGGCATTTTCCCAGCTGACCCAGAAGCGCCATGGGAAGATGTGATTAGCACAGCGGGCTGGGGAAGCGTTCGCTGCGGTCACAAGGCAGGGAGACAGCGAAGTTGCAAAGTTGCGTTGTGGTGCATTTTAATTGCAGTGAACTTCAGGGGTTGCCAGGAAAGAACGCGGTGAGAGCAGTTCCTCACTTTGCCCTGCACCCTCCCCGTCCGTCCCCTGCAATTAGGACCTTCTCAGTCTTTAGGTGCTAATCCTGTGAGCGTTTCCTGGGTGCTGCAGGAACCTGTTTTTCATGCACCGTGGCCACTCACATGCTGCTATGGTGTCGGACAGCGCCAGGAGGTGCTGGGCGTGTGAGAATCCGAGTGGTGGAGGGAGCTTGTACTATGAATCCCCACGGGGTGAGCACTCACTTTGCCAGGGGTATGGGCAGTTTCGCAGGCTCGAGGCAGTCCGGCCCTTACAGGACTGGCCATAGGAAGGGTTCTAGGGAGTGAGCTTGTCTGCAGAGATGCCAAAAGGTGCAGGAAAGGAGATGGGAATGGAAGCTCCTGTCTGCAGCTCTCCCGCCCTTCCCGGCTCCTGTGCGCTGTTCCAGGTACCTTACCTGGCGGCCTTGGGGTGGAAGTTGGAGTGGGAAAGGGTCCTGCCCACTGCACCCAGGGGTCTAGAGAGCCTTGTGGAGGACACTTGAGCTTCCGGACGAGGTCACTGCCTTAGGGGTCAGTTTCTTTGGCTGCAGAAATGAGGGAGGCGCTGTATCTGATGGACCTGCTCACCTCATGGGTCTTTCCCGTTAGTTTTCTATGGGAACTTGAGAAGTGTTCCAACATGCCAGGCTATGGACCTGCCTGAACAGCCCCAAATGGTCAGGGCAAAGGATGGTGATGGTGTCGAACAAACTCACAAGCAAATCGGGTTTCTGGAAGCTCATCCCTTCTAGACCTACCTGTAAATCCACATACAGGGATGATGCGCCTACTTCCTCATGGGAGAGGTCACTTGGTCATGTGGTACAACCAGCTAGTGGGGCCAGTGCCTTCCTAACCTGCATGTCTTGGCTGTCTTGTTTTTAAATATATTTTTATTGATTTCAGAGAGGAAGGAAGAGGGAGAGATAGAAACATCCATGATGAAAATCATTGATCAGCTGCCTCCTGCAAGTCCCCCACTGAGGATCGAGCCCACAACCCGGGCATGTGCCCTTGACCGGAATCGAACCTGGGACTTTTCAGTTCCCAGGTCGACGCTCTGTCCACTGAGCCAAACTGGCTAGGGTGCCATCTTGTTTTTATTCTCTCTTTTTTAAAAAAAATATATTTTATTGGTTTTTTACAGAGAGGAAGGGAGAGGAATAGAGAGTTAGAAACATCGATCAGCTGCCTCCTGCACACCCCCTACTGGGTATGTGCCCACAACCAAGGTACATGCCCTTGACCAGAATCGAACCTGGGACCCTTCAGTCCGCAGGCCGATGCTCCATCCACTGAGCCAAACCAGCCAGGGCTTGTTTTTATTCTCTTAACCTGACATTAAGCTGACCTCTAAGTATTACTGAGCAGTGACCTCCCAGCGGATGATGAGGTTACCCTACAGGTTATTAATCTTTGTCTCAATTTCACAGGTCTCCATAGAAATGGACCTTTTTAACAGTTATACTTTTAAAAAATAGTCCTCCTTTTTTCCCCCTAACCTTTGATAATAAGGTACCCAAATGTACAGCATAAAGACATAAGGCGACACCCTTCTTGATACAGCCCAGGTCCCGAAATCAAACTGCCTGCCACCTGCAGCCCCTCGGAGCTGCTTCTCACGACGATGACCTGCCTCCGCCCCAACCCCCCCAAGAAGCCACTGCCTCCAGCAGGGACCGCCTGCGTTTCTCTCAGGTTTATTTTAAGTGCATCTCTATCCACAGTTTAATCCGCCATGTAAAACAATTTGACGCTTTTTAAACGGCTCAAATACTGCTTTTGAAGCCCTGTAGCCACGCGGGGGAGGGACCCCCGCCTTCTTCCTCGAAAGCCTCTGGCAGCTCCTCACTCCGAACCTGCTGTTCCCGCCGTGGAGCTCTTACTCGACTCCCAGAGCTCCTTCAGCAGCCTCTTCTTTTCCAGGGTCTGCTTTGCTCTCTTCTTCCGTTCTTGCTTTTTCTTCTCTGCTTCGCGTCTTTCTCTGTAAGCAACACTGTTTTCCTCGTTGTAGAAAATGTCCACTTTCTCTTGCAGGATTTTCCGAGCCAGCTTCCTGTTCTGATCGAGGGACCTCGTCTGATGGCACTGCGGGAGGGAGAGGAGGTTCGTGACCCGAGAACCGCAGGCTGGTTCTCGGGACCCCAGGACTCAGCACACGCGACCTCGTCCCTGCAGAGGGGGCGGGCCCGGGAGGCAAGGACACTCGGCAAGAATCCCAGCGAAGGGGTGACAAAGCCAGGGCGTGTCCCTGGCCCACACCCATGTCGGATGTGGCTTTCACAGCAACTGTTTCTAGTTGGGAGTGTGGTTTTGTTTAGAAGCAACGGTAGCCTTTAAATAACTTACAATCCCAAAATAATTTTGAAAACATACACTGAAATGCCCAGCTGTGGGCAGGGCACGAGCACTTTGTGTGCAAAGGTCAGCTTCTGTCCGAGAGGGAAACGGGCTCTCCCATCAGTCGCCACAGCATTCGCATGTGATGCCCGAGCGCGGGGGCCAGGCCCGGCGAAGCTGGCTGATGGGAATTCGGGGATGTCAGGGCGAGAGAACAGCACCGAGAGAATTTGGAGTAAGTTATATAAAACAGGTTAAACAAAAATGATGTCAGGTTTCAGGCTGTTCCCTGTGGCTCCTGAATGACAGGTCGTCCAGGGGAAGAGCAGTGGTGGAGACTGAGAGATGTGCTCTGGGTGGGGAGAGCTGGCAGGGCCTGGCGCGTGCCTTAGCCTCTGTACCTCTCGTTCCTTACCGGTCCCGGTCCCGCCGGGAAGAAGGGGTGGAGGGGCCTGTGAGGACTAAGAGCTAAAGCATGTGAGGCCCTCAGCCGTGCTGTGTCGCTGGTACCGAGGCCAGCTTTGCTCTTGGTCGTATCTCAAGGCTCGGCTGCCTCTCGGGCCTCTGGCCACCCAGAGTGGACGGGCAGTCCCCCTGCACCGAGGCACCATTTCCTAGAGGGGCAGGTGTGCTGGCAGCTGGGATGCGGGAGCTTGGTTTTATAGGGAAGGGAGACTCCCACAGGCAGCCGTGCGGGCAGGCTTCTGAGCGCTGGGAATGGCTGGTCTGAGCTCATGCTCAGAGGGGTGGGTGTCACTGGCCTCCAAGGAGATGGAGGGCAGAGGACGCTCGCAGACCTCCAGGCCTGCTGGCTGCTCAGGGAGGTAGCGCCCACGGCAGTGCTGCGGCCATCGGCAGCCATGCTTTTACGAGAACCCTGCTGCCTGCCAAGTTCAAGGGCAGCAAGCGCCTGGCTCCAGAGGGGCTGGGAGGGGGCTGCATGGGACGAGATGTGCCAGCCTCTAGTGAACTCAGAAAGCCCCACCTGCTTCCCCTACCTTGACGACCAGGCCCGAGGGCACGTGCTTCAGCACCACGCAGTTGCTGGTTTTGTTGGTTGCCTGGCCCCCTGGACCGTGTCCTTTCACAAACTGCTCTTCCAGGTCACTCTCTTCCAGGGAGAGCAGGGCGGGGTGGTCCTTCTTGCCTGCCACCTGGACCAGAGGGACTCCTGCTCCCGGGGACAGCAATGCCGGCTTCTCCCTGTACCTGTGCGCCCAGGGCACGGGGCACATTCTGGTCAGCGGGGCAGGAAAGCGAAATGAGCCCAAGGTGCCCATGGACAGGGGCTCTGCTTGCCGAAGACCTGGATCGGACAAAAGAGACAGCCCTTCAGGGAGAGGCCCTCTCCCATGTTCACGTCAGGTCCCAGTTCAGACGATGAGGACCATCTCGTAGGGAGGGTGTTAGGAAGTGAGTGGAGACATGACTCGACCGTATCCTGCCCACTGGTAAATATTTTCTTATAACAGACCAGAAATATCTTTTTTTAAGTGGACTTAAAAATATGTATGTGTATATATATATATACACACACACACACATATATGTGTATATATACATATATATATTGATTTCGGAGAGGAAGGGAGAGGGAAAGATAGAAACATCAATGATGAGAGAGAATCATCGATCGGCTGCCTCCTGCACACTCCCCACTGGGGATGGAGCCCGCAACTCAGGCATGTGCCCTGCCTGGAAATAGAACTGTGACCTCCTAGTTCATAGGTAGATGCTCAACCATTGAGCCACGCCGGCCGGGCTGGACCAGAAATATCTCCAAGGCCCCCGAGGTGCTGTTTTCTCAGGAAGGAGAGGGTTTGAGTGTGAAGCTCAGAACAAACAGGGCTGTGATTTGATGTGTTAAACAGCACATCAGGGCAGAAGTGGGAGCTGAGTCTGGGGACGTTATTTAAATGCCGGGGAGTCTCTGAAATCCACCCGTCGGACGGAGTGCCATCGCCCGTGGACGGCTGAGCCTAGACAGTGGGGCACAGTAACCACCACTGTCCATCATCGTCATGGCTGTTGTTTTTCAATGTTTCCGGTTTCTTGGGTCTGAATAGGAACACCTGTCCCTCAGACACACGGCCAATGACGTGATCCAACTGGTCCGCGGCGTAGGCCCACCGAACCAGCCGACTTGCCTGAAGGCGCC